CGGTACATTACAGACAATTTCATCAGACTATTTAAAAACATTCACAAACCATAGAACTCATTTCCAAACATTTGAGCAAGAGTTTAAATTGGCCTATTGAAACCAGTTCCTTTAATATCCAGAAATTTTGTAAACTTGTTTCATTACTGGATGAATCAGCTTTTTTTTTTTTTACGAATCTCTTGAATGAATTATTCATGAATTATACCTATTGGTGTAACATTGTAATTGTTGTTATCAGTACTTCTGTGATCATTTTAGTATTTGTAATTGAAATAATGATTTTGTGTGGTTGAAAAGAAACCATTTCAAACCTATTCATGACAACCGGTTTCTCAGTCTCAGCCACAGCGTGAACACAGATTTGAATGTTAGCTGTGATCGTATTTGTCAATGGTTTAATAGACACAGCCGAGTCGCTGTCATTCAGAAATTAGATCACCTGAGTGTTTGAATCGAGATCGCGATCTTTTAATGATTAATCATGCAGCTCAAGTGTTATTTAACAGAATATCAAAACAAAGGGCTTTTATTTGAAAAAGATACAGTATACCACAAACACACATATTTCACAAAGTTCTGTTTTATAAGGTTCTAAATATATTGTTCAAAATGTACAAAAAATGATAACTAGAAAGTGTCCTAAAGTTGTGGAACTTGCTTATTCTTAATAGTATTAACCCTTTAAAGTCTAAAGGTTTTTAAGTCCAGCTGGCACTATGTTGATATTTTGGCTTCTGGGATGGTCAATTTTCATAGCAGAGTAAAGAGAGACATATTTTTGGATTTTTATAGATTCTCAGCTACAATGTGGATGCATTGACAATACACTTTTTGAGACAATTATATATGTTATAATATGATATGTCACCAAGAAATACAAAAACAGAAACAGAATTTTTTTGTTTTTATTGTAATATTTGTTTTTATGTATTAATATGAAACATAAATAAATTAAGGTTTTTACAACAAATATTTATTCCTAAAAGACCTGCAAAAAAATTTGGTGAAAAAATACAAAGAAACAAAATAAATATTTACATTTCTGTGAAAAAACAAATGTTCATTATAATGGAATATTCTACAACAACACATTGGTGTAAAAAAAGAAAAAAAGTTACTTTTTTAGAAAAGTGGCTTAAAAAAGTGAAATTTGTTTGCAGTTGTCACTTTGGTTGATATTTTGTATTTAATGCAATGAAATTCTGATATTTTTAAGTGTGACTAAAGTGTGTAAAAGTGTCCAAATATTTATTTTGAGAATTATTTCTAATTTGATTAATGATGCAGTTCCAATGATGTCAAAGTGGCAAATTGTTTCAAAAGGAAATTTCCTTTTTTTACCCTCAGAATTAAAGGTTTTTGTAAATGACAGTGTGTTTAAGTTTGGATGAGATGAGGCAACTGTCCGAGTTTCCTAGCAGCTGAACCGCCCTTTCGACTGACAGGCTGGGGGAAGGGAACATGACATGACCCAACCACATACAGTGGACACAAACAGTGTTTTAAAGTGTACTTAATGTATACTTTGAAAAATGCAAATCTGATTGTGTCACTTGAGTGAAAAATGTAAATTGGCATCTCACTTCATATGGATTTGTTATCTAACGCAGTGACATTCTTCAAGTACTTTGTTTGGGGTCACTGTAAATGTGCAGTTGCTGTGTAGTGTAACTAAATCATATTCTGTTTTGTGATCTCACCATCTAAAATTAGTTACATCTGAAACTATCCTTTTTAATATCACCCCATGGCTGCTTGATTTATGATTTTAAACCACAGTGACAGTAAAAGAAAAGCCCCCTAGACCCGATGACCCACGGCTGTAAATGTGCTCTTCACTGCTGTGACTTTCACATTAGATGAACCACATGCTGCAAGGAACTACTTAAAGGTGCAGTGTGTGATTATTAGAGTCACCTAGTGGTGAGGTTGCGAATTGCGACCAACAAAAGTTACGGTGGCCGACAGGAAAAGATGTCGTCGTCTGTCATCTGTTATAGCAGAGAGTAGCCAGTTAAGAAATTAGGTTTCTTTACAAAGATAAATTAAGAAATTATGTTTACTTAATTATTCAGTAAAACGATATGTTTTTGCGAAAATATTTTGGTAATTGTTCATCATTGTCTCAATGTTTTATTTGCTGACTTTAGCTAGCTTCTTTGCATGACGAACAAGAGTGACGAAACGTGTTTGTCCATTTAGGGCTACTTTAGAAACATGTCGGCACAAAATGGCTATTTCAATGTAAGGGGACCTGCGGTGTATGTAGATAGAAATGGCTCATTCTAAGGTAATAAAAACATGACAGTTCATTATGTAAGGTCTTTATACACCACCTAAAACATAGTTATGTATATGATATTGGAATTCTGTCAACAGATCCTCCTAAATATTACACAATGCACCTTTAAGTACCTTTTTGTCTTTGTGAATCTTACTAAATAGTGCCAGCTGTTGCTTAACTCAACTGGAGGGAATGTGGAGTCACACTGGTTTAAACTAGACCTCAAATAGAAATGAAAATGCACTAGTATTAGATGTTACTGATGAGGTGTTAAGAGTTTACACTACATTGTGTAAATAATACCCCTGTCAGTTTTCAACAAGAATACACTAGCTTTCATAAGTTTTGGGATAATGATCTCTTATGGAAAAAGTCTTTTATGATCACCAAGGTTGCTCTTATTTAATAAAAAATGCAATAAAAACAGCAATACTGTAAAATACTATAAAAATTTAACATTTTCTGTGATTGTAGCTTTGCAGTAGCCATTACTCCATTCTTCACTGACTACGTTTACATGCAGCCAATTTTCGGGTTATGGTCACTATTCGGGTTTTCTGGAACAATAGGAATAACCCGTTTACATGCGTGAGCAGAGAGAGTTTCTCCTGTATAGATGGAATTGCAATATCCCGATGTAAACGGCAACGCGCGGTTAGCGTCTAGACGTACGGACAACCTTAAGACGCAATATGCGTCATTTCCAGTTCTTCTTCCTGTATCCAAAGACAACAACAACAGCAGCAGCACGCATATAATGAGTAGTTCGGGGCAGATAACGATCGTAGCTATCATAGGTATACTGCATGCGGATTTTTGTATGCACCGAGAAGTTTCTCTACTCAAAAGACCAAGATTCCTTGCGAATAGAACATGCGCAGAACCACTGTAGAAAAAAATATTGTTGGTTTAACTTAAAAAATTAAGTAATCTGGTTGCCTTAAAATTTTAAGTTGATTGAACTGGAAAAAGTGAGTTAATACAATGAAGGAGATTGATTTACAGTAATCATCAGAAACTCAAAATAATAAGTTATCTGAACTAAATAAATGATTTAAGTTGATTTGACAAAAGAGAAAATGTTGTGATAACAAATCATGAAAATGTTTTTTACAGTGACACAAATCACTTTGAGATGTTGATATTCATTTACATGACCAAAAATTCTGGTTAGAAAAGGGGTACCCCAGGTATAATATCCCGGTTTTTAAAATCTGGGATATGAGCATGGTTTTTGCCAGTGTTTACATGGCCAGTCGTGACCAGGTTATTGCTAATATCCTGGTTTTGAACGGGTTATTGGCTGCATGTAAACGTAGTCAGTGTCACATGATCCTTGATAAATCATCCTAATATGCTGATTTCTGTCACGGGTCCATCTGCGTCAGCACCAGATACCTTCACTCCGCCTACTCGTTCCGGTTCCCCTGACTACTAATCATCATCACCTGTCGTCACCACCTGCCATCACTTATCCGGACTATCATCCACTCCATATATACTCACCTCATTCAGTCACTCACTGTCTGGTCTCGTCTCTACCACGATTACAGACTCTCTATCGCTACCTCACGTTCCTGATTCTACTTACCTGCATTGTATCTCCAACCCGTCAGTCTCCCGTCTGTTCCTGTCCTTGGTCCCCGTCTGCTGCCAGTCCTCTTCAGTCTCCAGCTCCGCTGTTCCGGTCAGCTCTCCATTCTCCCGCTCCTGTTCAGATAAGGAATACATCATCAGACTGTTCAAAACCCTCACCAACTTCAACTAGCACTCAACTTACCATCCTGTGACTGTCATTCAATAAACCTTGTTAATACTCACCCGTCTGTGCCATTCTGTTCTGTGACAATTTCGTGTCTAAGAGACCTTTATTATTATTTATACTAAATTTGTTTTGTATTAATTTAATATGTAAATGATTAATATAATGCATTCTTGCTGAATAAAAGTAATTTCCTGCAACCCCACCCCCCTCCAAAAAAAATTAACTTGCATCACACTTTTGAACGCTATTGCAGCTATTTTCTTAACAGAGAAGGACATAGTCAGAGGTCATTTATAGGGAAAACTACTGGTGCTCTTTGGTATATTCTGAGATCTCCACTTGATTATTCACATGTCATGTGAAAATGAGTCAAATATCCCTCCATTTCCTCGTGCATGGATGCATAACACTGTTGTTGTTTCACTTGTGCCTGGTTAAAGGTAGGTGCATGACAAGTAGTCTTGACTTGACTGAGGTTCCTTTTATCAAAAGAATGTTAAATGCTAATACTGAAGTAAGGCCTAGAAATCTGCACTATTTCTTTTAGTGACCATAATAACAGTCTTTGGTGTGCATGATTCAGACATATCCTGTTGAGTACTTTAATCTCTGCATCGTTGATCTTCTCTTAGAGAATTCCTGATGACTGTACTGATGTTCCGTCCTTTTTTCTCTTTCTCTAGAACTGTAATTCATATGTAACATTTGTGTGAACTTTCAATGTCTTCCATCTAAAAACTCTTAATAGGAATGCGTTTTGAATATCCAGTGTGTTCCAGGTTGTTGATGGAAATGTTTAGCACTTTTAGTACAAGATGATGTAGCCGGGAAAATCCTATTTTAAAGGATCTGTATGAATCCTATGCCATCATATGATGTGTAATTTCATGCGCAGTATTGCAGATCATATCTGATTACTGTCTGACTGTGCATTTTTCTGTCTGATAGGACATCTGTGAAGACATATCGGATCATGTCGAGCAGATCCACGCGCTGTTGGAGACCGAGTTCTCCCTGAAGCTCCTGTCCTACTCTGTGAACATCATAGTGGACATCCGGAGCGTGCAGCTCCTGTGGCACCAGTTGCGAGTGTCCGTGTTGGTTCTGAAAGAGAGACTTCTCCAGGGCCTCCAGGACTCCAACGGCAACTACACCCGCCAGACTGACATACTGCAAGCCTTCAGCCAGGATCACGATGAGGTCAGATACATCTCTAAAGCATCATGTGAATTATACCATCTAAAGCGGGGTACATCCCTTACTAAGGGCACATCCCTCACTAATTCACTAGGACAGAAACTTAGTTACGCAATGTTCTGTTGGGAGTGTACCATAAACTCATATCCTATACCCTTCACCAAAGACATTTAGGCTATGGAGGAGGACCAAACCTATACAAATTAAAAATAAATAAATGACTATTTATACTTGTATTTCCCTATTTATTTATAATTATATATTTGCCCACATTTATTTATTTATTTATTTATTTATTCCCACTTTTATTTATTTTCACTTTTATTTATGTATCGGCAACGTTCAAGTAGACTACTGATTCTTACAGTGCTATTTGCTATTCTTGCAATGCATATAGTCTATTTGAACGAATCGTCTGAATTATTGATTGAACTCACTCGATAAGACGGTGGCTTGGCAGCACCTACTGGCTGTTTTAGTTTCATATTTAAACGTATAATTTTATCAATGTCATTGACAAATGTCTGTCATTTCAACTATCTAAATTGAACAGTTAAACTTATAGGTGACATTATGACGCATATAGCCTGCTATTTAATAAGGTTTTTAAAAATGTCACCTCTTTATGGAAAAGTTTGTTGCTGTCAACGTTGTTTTGGAAGATACATAAAAAATGCAGTTTGCTTCTGTAAACAGATCTACAATGCATGACATTAAATGTGGTTAATAGTGGATAATTTGACGCGCTTCATAGTAAAAGTGTCTTTTATCAACGGATTCTGTTCATGTGTGCCCAGACATTTTAGAAATCCCGACCAGCTGATGTTTTATGGCCATGTCCGGAATAAAGAGTAGACCTATCAATGTATGGTAGGCCTAAATAGCTAAGTAAAATTAATGGACATAAACTGTGATATAAGATTTTGGTCATATTGTCCATCTCTAAGTAATTTAATTTCTGTGACACCTGTGAAGTTACGTCCACAAACCTCTTGCGTAGTGTTTGGTCACACCACAAAGTGTCACTGTGGCCTCAAAGCTTCAGCACTGCCACTCTGAGCTCGATTGCTATGTCTGAGGTAAAACACGCCCCATTATATGCCTCATGCCTCATTATGCCGCATTTGCATACAGAGCAATAAATGAATAAATATATAAATAAATAAATGAATAGATAAATAAATTTCTAAATAAATAAATGTAGACATAAATGCAAATATACATAAATAAAAGTGAAAATAAATAAAAGTGGAAATAGAGAAATGCATAAAATAAATAAATGAATAGATAAATAAATGTGGGAAAATACTGTATATAATTATACATAAATAGGAAAATAAAAGTATAAATAGTAATTTTTTTTTTTTTTACATTTATTCACATTTTTTTTTTTCTTTTTTAAAGTTTTTATAGGTTTGGTCCTCCATAACCAAAGGCATTTAGACTAGGGCTAGGCAAACCGAGCAAACACTTGCAGCAAAGCACACTTTTTATACCGAAACAATTCTTTCAGCACATGATAGATTTGATTACATTTTAAATTTGAGTTTGCAAATTAATAGTCTGTTTGTTTTTGTGATCTTGATCATCTTTAGGCTCGGCTGGATGCTTTGACAGAAGTGGATGACTCTGGCCAGCTTACCATTAAGTGCAGTAAGGACTACTTCTCCCTCGATTGTGGCATTACTGCTTATGAACTGAGTGACTACAGTCCCATTGAAGACGCAGAAGGTCAAGGGCCACGCTCCCTTTATCCCGAGCTGGAGCAAGACTTTCCAGAACTGCTTCAGAGTGTGGATCTCCTCAACATTGCAGCCTCTAGACAGAACCAGGTGTCATCTTCATCTGCAGAAGCGCCTGTTACTTCCACCCAGGAACCTCAAGAGACAATCAGTGGCCCCACCGAAGAAGAAAGTACACCGGATTCAGCAATGCAGGGAGATAGCAGCTTTGCCCTTTCCAAACGCCCTCTTCAAGGTGCCATTAGGAGTGATGTTTCTCCCACACAGCCTCTGCCTAAAAAGCCCATGTACCTGGAGGGTGATGGAAACACAAGGTTCAGTAGGCCTTCACCTCTCCAGTACCAGGCTGACTTGAGCAGAAGCACGCCATCTCTTCTGGATACACCGGATCGCTCAAAGTTCTGGCTGGAGCTGGAATCAGTTTATCCAGGCAATGGGAGTCAATCCTACGAGAGTCTCCATGCTATGAACGGTAGGAACTTGCGAATGGGTCTCAAGAGACCATCCGTGCCTGGTGAAGTCCCACTGGAGAGACGCTCATCTGAGGCCGTGCAGGGATTACAGACACAGAAGCACTTGACGAACTTCAAGACTATGCACTCCAAAGCCAAGCAGGCTTACAGTGACTCTTCCAGCCCACCGCCATCTTCAGGGGAGGAGGTCTCAGACCACGACGCACGGGAAATGTCCTCTAGCCCCGGCGATCAAGCTCCCACCACAGGCTCTCTCTGGATTGTTAACCAAAATGCTCTGCAAATCTCTAATGCTTCAGACAGCCCCAAAGAGCACTGGTATGGTTCGGATGAGTTCCTCGCTCTTCCAGCCCAGCTGAAAAAGACAGAAATGTTAGCGATGAAGCTGGAAAACCTTGCTCAGGCTTTACCGCAAAGAGGCTTGCAAGAGTCCATCCAGGACGTGGATGACTGGGAGCTCTCTGAGGTCAACCCTGATTGGGAGAGCAGCTCCGATCTTCTTTTGCTTCACCCCTATAAAAAGTTCTCCCGAGCCGGGCGCTTTTCACCTACCTCCTCGAGCGACATGGCTCCTTCTCTTGATGACAGCATAGAGTCTGGGCCCCTCAGTGACCTGTTGTCCGAGGACGAAGGGGCGCGAAGTACACCAGAGTCCAGGGGAAGAAACATATCGACTGGACGGCCCATTGCACCAAAGATTGTTTTCCAATGCACACCCTTGATACAGCAGCTACTAGCAGATATTCAGCACAAAGAGAACTACCACAATGTCTGGGCGAAGATTGAGGTAAGAGATTACTACTTTTTGGTACAGTATTCTTAAAGCAGCACTATGTAACTTTTTCAACCTTTATAGTATTTTTCCTAAACCCTTGAGATGGTACATCGACTTACAATAGGTTGAATGACAGGTCTGTAATAGCCCGACAGTGTCTGTATCGCTTTTACTGGCACTCTGTAACTTCGGGGAGCGGGTAGGAACCCGAGCACAAAAAGAACTACAAAATTTGACTTCTTTACCGCATACATCACTTCCCCCACTTCCTCAAATTCCGACGCGAGAAACCCAAGAAGCCATGGCTGTAAAACCAAGCAAGTAAAACAAGTAAAACCAAGAAGCCAAGTAAAACCAAGTAAAACCAAGAAGCCATGGCTGAAGCAGCAAGTAAAACCAAGAAGCCAAAGGTTTTGTCGGAGGACAATAGAAAGAGAAAAAGGGAGGGTGGCAAAATAAAAGGCTGGACGAGGATCAATATTGGTCTAGCGTTGAGTAGGAGGGGTGCCAAACCGATCCAAGAGGTCCTCTCTTCTAAAGGTACAATATTTGGGGTACGCCAAAATGAGCGAACGAGTGATTTTTTTTAATGCTAATACTATTTTAAAAACATTAATTCATAATACTAGTCCACAAAAACGTAACTAAGTCCCCAGACTTCAGCAAATGTGAAGCGTCAGAAACAGAGCCCGCTGGCGATCAGTTTAATGTTGGTAATGTTGTTATGTAGCTTCGCCCCTCGCTGCATTCAATGTAGACTGCTTTGCTTTCTTTTGAGGGCGCAAGTAAATAATACACGATTAGACGGACAAAATAATTGGTCAGGATAACTATCCAATGTCTGCAGGCTGATCATGTTTGTTATTTATTTTTTCTTGCCTCAGACTATTATGCAAATCGCTTTTTCAAATTTGCTGATTCATCTATGTTAGCTTGATATTATAATATTGACGATATGGCTATTATCTACCACACATTGCATTGAATTAGCATATCCATTATGTAAAACAGTAGCCAATAGGCTAACGTTACTATAAAGACGCTGGCTTGTAAACGTGAGCTACGCGATCTTTTAATGTTTGATAAAAATAAAGCCCATGAAACTATATTCATATGACATGCTGAAATATATGCCAATGTAACTGGGATGAAGACATTCACACGCAACGCTGGCAGTCTCCCCAAGATGTGAGAACTCCTTCCTTCTGCAGAGTTCGGGGGTATCGCTTGTCAACAAATGCACGCGTGTATTCTCTGGTGTAACCATGACAGATTTTACGACATTAGTAGAAGACAATACTGTTTCCCAACTGTAGGGGGACCCCGAGAGCAAAATTTCAAAAGTGACATAATGCTGCTTTAACCTTTCCAAAGGCTGTGTTTGAAAAAGAATACTAGCTTACTACTTACTGTTGGAGTATATGCTGTATACTGTGCTACAGAAACCATGCAGTATCTGTTTCACATATACTGTATAATGTGCTGTATACTGAATGCTGTAAATGCTATTTACAGTATATTGAATACTGTGCAGTGTGAACTGCAAATGCATTATTCCATTATAAACATTTCTGACTAGTATGCTACATTTGTTGTCAAATGATCTCACCATGTTGCATATGAGTGCAGTTTAGTTACAGCTACCGTTGTGTTTAGTTCAGCAGTCAGTGTCAGATAATGAGTGTCTATAGTCACTTCCACTTCATATAGCACCCCAACAATGCACTGTGGTTGTGGTATACATTATTCTGTCCAGTGTCCTGCCCTTGTATACTGCTTATTTGGGCAAATCCCTACATACATGCGATAAATTGCAGAAATAGTTTAAAAGTAGTATTTTAGTACACTATTCTTTAAGCCATTCACTCAACAAAGATAAATGAGCAACCGAGTGATAATGGTGAACCTCTCAATGGTTAAACTTACATTTATCACAGTTCTACAGTTTATATCTAATTTAAAAGGGGTATGATCATTAAGGGAGTCATTTGTATGCCTTAATCCTCATTCACATAGAGGCGGCAGCTAATATGTGTCACTACACTAAGCAGATATTAAAAACAGCTGATAACTAAAGGGGTAATGAACTAACAAGCCACCTCAGCCTTTCGCTAATATTCAAAGCTTAATTAACAGGATTGCGCTCCTTGACAACCTCTCTTCAGTCCCAAGTCTGTAATTAAATGATTAGCTTCAAAATTAAGAACATGCAATCGTTTATAAAGGACCCGGGTGCTTGAGGAAACCAAAAACTAGCCAGACTGTGTGGGATAGCATACTACCATGCTACTCTTACTACTGCTAAAGTGTGTACTCTTTGCAAACTATGCATATTTTATGTATGGAAATACCCAATGACCTAGTACATTTACGTATGCAATAGCTGCAGGGAATACAGTCTCCCATAATGCAAAAAAAAATCATGCATCACACAAAGGCTAAAACATTATTAAAATAATAATACATGGATATGCAAATGTAAATTACATTTTATATTGATTAACAAGTACGCTGTCATAGGAGTCAACAATAATGCCACACATCATGCGACAAACTAGAGAGGTCATAAAAATGTGATAACAATGTGGCATAGCGGTTTGAACTGTCTATCATGGGATAATGCATACTGTTTAACTTGTTATTATAATTATTATTTTATATATTAATTAATAATAATAAGCAATATGCAGTATGCCCTCTTGCAGTAAGTAAGATAATATTCTGTTTCCAGCTCAGCTAAAATTAAGCAATCTAGCTGCATTAATCTTTATTAGTAAAAGCTACCATTTCTTATAGTAATGTAATTCTTATCTATGTTCTTTCAAAAATGCATTTCTGATGAGATCTGAAATTCTGAATCATTACACTTTTTTTGTTTAGGCCTATTGCTGGCCATGCGATTAGTTCTACTGTTTTGTTTACTGCCTCAGAGACATTACGGGATACTGCCGCCATCTGGTGGTCAAATATAAAAACAGACTAAGAACACCAAAAGGAATATAAAGCAATGTCTTTGTTTATGAAATTGAGTCAATTACGAGTGCATCAAATTAAGTTTATTTAACTAGATCTCTTAGATGCAATCTTGGCAAACCAAATATTTCAACTTTTGATATAGGATGCTTTGGTTTCAAAAATATGCCATAGTGCCTAAAAAATACAGTAGAAACTACAGTTATTGTTTTTACTGTAAAACCAAAGTAACTTGGTATCAGTCACTATTGTCAATAAAACAAAAAAAAATCAAGCAAGATGATATAATGATTCTTGCACTATTTGAATGGATATGGATTAATTAAAGGTTTGAATTAGTAAGTATTGTATTTTGCTGGAGATTATGGAGATTATTATTTGTGCATTCATCCTGAGACATATTTTGACCAATGTCTGGACTTTATCCAACGGAACTCTTTCAGTTCACACGAATTCATATTTAATCACCTGCAAATTCAGTCTTCTGTTTCATCCAAGAAGATCGGTCATGTGACTCCACATCATTTTTGAAATCTACTCCACAACACTTCTCATGTCTTATGAACAGTAACCACTGCGATCATGCCGATCTGATGGAGGTGAATGACTAGTGAAGGGAAGAATGCCCTCAAAAGTTTTCAGCTGTAATCCTTCCTTTGGTTCCAGTGAAAGCGTGTGAGTGTGTGTGAACGTGTGCAGTAAGCTCACTGGAGCGGGCGGAGGTAGGCAGCCACATCCACCTGAGATGATGCGTGTCACAGGAGGAGGTGATTGATTACATTAGTATTCAGCCGCTGGAGATGACTTCATTCTCATGGCAACAGACAGCTGGCAGCTGAAGCCTCTTCTTGGGGGCGTCTCAGGGGTCTAGTCATGTGTGACGCCACCAAACCCGTCTTCCCCTTCTCCTTGTCTTTTCCTCTTTCTCTCTCTCTCTCTCTCTCTCTCTCTCTCTCTCTCTCTCTCTCTCTCTCTCTCTCTGTTTCTGTCTTTCTCGTCCTCTGCTTCCCCCACTCTGTCGTTCTTTGTTTTTGCATCTTTATTTTCATTTTTAGTGCTAGATATGGTAATAAAAGTGAATATAAGATTGCACATTTTTTTCTTTTATTAAAATGTACTCTCTCTCTCTCTATATATATATATATATATATATACAATTATTTGCAGTAGTTAATAAAATAATAGTAGCTGTCAAATCAAAATTTCTAAATCAAAATTTCCATTGGAAAACGAAAAGCAGAAAACAAGAAGTTTATTTCTTTCTATTCAATTGCAGTATATTCACATTGTGTGTGTGTGTGTGTGTGTGTGTGTGTGTGTGTGTGTGTGTGTATATATCTATGTGTAAATATATATATATATATATACAGTATATACAGTTCATACCGTCATAAATACATATATATATACAGTTCATACCGACATAAATACATATATATAAATATATATATATATATATATATACATACATATACACACACGCATAAAATGTGAATATATACTGCAAATGAATGGAAATAAACTTTGGAAATGGAAATAAATTGAGATTTATAAATTTTGATTTGGCAGCTACTATTATTTTATTAACTACTGCAAATCATTTTTTACATTTTATATTATATATAAATATGGTATATAATATTTTATTTATTAAAGCCCTAACGATAAAGGATTTTGAAGGCCGATACCGATACAAATATTTGTTGGTTTTAAAATCCGATATTCCGATATATCGGCCGATATTATTATTATTTTTTTATTTCAGAAACGCACAATAAAAAATACTGCGCGTACAACAAACTATACAACTCCAACACTCATGACATGGTTGAAGCGTGTTTCTTCCGTTTTTATTTTGTTTTTGAAATATTCATTTATCGGCCATTATAACTGCCGATGCCGATATTTTAGAAAAATGCCTAATATCGGCCGATAATATCGGCCTGCCGATATATCGGTCTGGCTCTAATATTTATAATGTAAGTTAGTATATAATGTACAGGACCATATACACACACACACACACACACACACACACACACACAACAAAATAGGCTTCATTTTCTAAACGTGCATTTAGAAAATGAAGCCTATTTTGTATTGACATTTATTCTCATGACAATTAAGCAATGTCATTTTTGTTTTGTGTTGTTTGCTTATGGAAAAGAGCCGCATGATTGTTCTCCAAAAGTCTCCTTTTGTGTTCCATTTGAAAGGAAAGTAACAGCTTGCATATTTGGAATGCCATCAGGGTGATTAAATAAACAACTATTTTTCATTTTTGGGTGAACAATTCCTTTTGAACGCATGTAAACAGACAATGCGAATACGGTGATAAAAGCAGTGATTGGTTTCTGAGGGTGTTCGGTTCACACTCTCTATGAATTTGGCGGCTACCGACTGCTTTCACCCATTAGCTCTCTCTCTCTCTCTGTCTCTTTCTTTCTCTGGGGCATGGAGTCGTGTCTCATTTTCTCTTCCTCCCTCTGTAATACACTCACAAACAGGTCTGGTGACAAGCTCAGTTAATGCCGTGTCCAGCGGCTACATATTCATCTGCTCTGAGAGCTTTATCAGTGCACGAGATGAGAGTGAATCGCACGCCGTCCCTGCCAGGGGAATAATTTAGCGGCAGTATCTATTGATCTTCATCGACTGCCACAATCTCGCAGAATTCCTTTGGTCTATATGAAGATGTACCATATTGCAGCAGAGCTGGGATGAGAGATGTGCAGTAGTTTGAGGGCTTTCTTTCAACATAAAAGTGGTCTGCCATCTCTAACCAGCTTGACCAAAACAGTCTGCCAACTCAAAACCAGGTCCAGTCAACCATTTTGCAAGATGTAAACAACAATGGTCCAGAAACACTAACTGTTTTCTTTATTTCACATGTAAAGAAAACATCTTCAAGATATTTGTTGAACTTTTTGATTCAGTTTTATATGTTCTGTTGGTTGTATTATGTAGTGTTAAAAAACTGAAACAGGAAGTGCTTCTGGACCAGTGTTGTTTACATCTTGCAAAATGGTAGATAGAAACCGTTACGAGAAGTGTTCAGGCTTTACTCTGACTTTTGAAATGGTGTTCTCACACCGATGTGATTCCTCTCCAGCATTTTAGCTTTGAAAGCACATCCAGTCTCACCCACATCAAAGCTCGACTGCCGGTGAAGGCCAAACAGTCGATAAATTATGGGATTTTTAGCCTGCGTTTGCGGAGAGGGCATTTGTATCAATATCTTTGATTTTCACCAATGTTAGATAATGAGCAGGAGGAGCTGCCATGGCGAAAAAGGGTGCAATCTTTTCACATTACATTCAGATGGTTCATTAGAGACTATGAAATGGTGTTTGATCCATTTGCACGTATGACATCAGACGAGCATATTTGTCGCGTCTCAGATCCTCGTCATTCACCTCCTGCTTAATCACAGACTTAAAGGAAAAGTTCACTCGAAAATGAGCATTTTGTCATCAGAAATCACATTACCTTCATGTCATACGTTTTGTTCCTAATGCAGATGCCCTGAATAATGTCTAAGCTTCTTATTTCCATACGGCGAAAGTAAAAATAGACTGCAGAGGACCACAAATATGAAATAGTCACAAAAAGTCCACATCTAAAGTCTTATGAAACAGATTTGGTGGTTGATTATCGTTGAAAAACAACTTACATTTTGGTCGGATCTACAGTACATAATGCTAAGACTTGAGATAATATACAGTATGAAACACCCTATTGACTTTGGCAGTTTGGACATTATGTAAAACGTCTTTTTATTGAATAGATGGATGGAAAAAGTCATATGGGATTAGAATCAGGAAAATTAGGAGACTGTTTAGATTTTTCAGTGAGCTGTTCCTTTAAGGGCAGTTCTGGGATCAGCAGTCGGAGTCTGTACAGGTTTTCGTTTGTCCAGCAGATGGCAGTATTTACACACCGAGCACATTGAACCTGCTCTCATTGAAAAAGCCATAGAGACTCATGAAGGGCAGCTACTGTGTGACATTCCCTTAAGTATCGTGTGACAAATGCAAACCCTCACTCCGAAACTTTTATCAGCTTATCAAACCTTATCAAAACACTTTCTTTTTCTGAAGTCCTATTTGTTGTGTTGTGGTGCATAACACATCACATCAGAACCATCACATTTGCTGTGTTTGACCGTGTTGATGTGCCTGTGTGTTGTGTGTTTGCTCTTGCAGGGTTTTGTCAGCAAACTGGATGAGTTCATCTGTTGGCTGAGAGACGCTCTAGAAACCACAGACAACTGGACGCCACCCAGAGCTGATATCGACAGCCTCAAACTCTACCTGGAAACTCACCTTGTGAGTAAATGTCTAATCAGTCTTTCAGTGTGTTAAAGCTCACATATGTTAACAGTTGGACACTTTCCACTAGTGATCACATTGCATTTATTTTTATTCTGCTGAACTTTCAATCTTATATGTTGATGTTTTTTCTCACTGTTGCTCTTTCATAGTTTCATCATGTCTCTCAGTCGTGTTTAATTCAAGCATCAACTTTATCTCAGATGTTTATCCTAAAATTCTTTAGGCGAAATTAAAAAAGGGCACAAGTGAGTAAACTTTTGACACACAACTGACAGCTATAAAGTGAAAGTGTATGTCAGCTCACATCATTTGGTCTTGAATTGTATTTATATGCATTAAAATGATCTAAATGACATTTAATGAAAAAAATCTTTTATTGTACATTTCTGTAAAAATAATGACAGTACAGATATTTCATATATGCGTATGTAGGTGTGTATAAAATACAAATCTAACTTTTATATTATTTTAAATAAAATGTTAAAATTGCGAATACAATTATATTGTCAATTATAAATGGACATAATGGTTAATTAAACTTTCATATTTCAATAATTTAAAATTATATTACTAAAAGTAAATTATAAATGTATATGTGATAATAAATATTATATTATATTATATTATATTATATTATATTATATTATATTATATTATATTATATTATATTATATTATATTATATTATATTATATTATGTACAATTATACATTGTATTGGCCATTGACCATTAGCTGAGATTTCCTCTGAAACTTTTTTTTTCTTTTCTTTTTTTTTTTTCTGGGAGAACATCTGACAAGCAGAGACTTGGTTCTTTTTTTGTCCTCCGTTAAATCTCATTACTGTCTTGGAGAACTAATTGAGATATTGAAGAGATTTCATTTGTGGGTTGTCTTTCCAATGGCAATTTGAAACCCTTAGTAACCCGTACCAGAAGCGTATCATGTGCACCAGCTACACTGTTTGTTTATCAGTCTGTGTGTGTGACCAGCCCATCTGTACTGCAGGAGGAATATCACATTGTGTTTTATAGTGAGAGGCTTCACCAATTTTTATTGATTTAGAGAGCGGGGTCACACACTTGCTGTCTCTCATCCAGCGTTTGGGGCTTGCAGGATGTGCTCACAGGTCTAATGTCTGGGCATTAAGTCCAGCTGGCAGGTGGGGGGAGCGCGTGTGTGTTTGTGTCCGTGCGCATAAATGTGTGTGTCTGTGAGCACGGATCTTTCCGGTACCCACGGGAGAGCCGTAAGGAGGAGGTTGGCTGTTGCAGGGTAGGAAGAGAAGGAGAGAGAGAGAGAGAAAAGGAGTGGGCTTTCTTTATAAGGCATTGAGAGATTGTGAAATGAAACCGCTATTGATTGCACTGGGTGGCGGATCCAGGTCTCTGAATCACATTAACCACACACACACACACACTGGCCTCCATTGGCAAATGAAACACAGAAACAAGGGCCCCCAGTCACACAGATAGTGAGTTGTGCTCCTGCTTTCCAGCATGCACACAAACATTAAAGACATTCTTTATATATCAGTTAGTACATAAACCACACAGTTAAATTGGATGACGTCCTAAATTGAGCGGACAGTGTTTAAAAAGCTTAATGAAACACTTGGAAAAACCTTTGAAGACTTAATTGGGGTTTTGTGGCTGTTACACCATGTCTATTAGTTAATGTAATTTTAGAGGTCATTTATGTGCTAGTATACACACTTTTTTTTGTGTTGAAATATTGAAATGTATGCTCTTTCACTTGCAGGAAAACAGACTACAAATTGATGCACCGATTTAGATAAATGGATGACTTTATTACTTACGTCCTTAAGCATTTTAAAAACTGGAGCCTTGCGTTCCTCATAGTTTTTCTCCATTTAAATTTTTTTAAAGATAACCCTGCTGAACTAGCCTAAGGTAGTTTGCTGGTCTTACATTAACTGGTTTAAGATGGTTTTCCATCCTGACCCACTGACTCAATTGCTCAAAACCCCTTTAAAACCTTCAAACCACCAGCTTGGTGGCAAGAAAACCACCTTAGGCTTCTTTCGTAGCGCAAGGGGGTGTTATCCAACAAATATCCATTAACTTCAATAATGCACCAGAGATGGTCACCATCTGGTCATCTTCAGCATACTATCATCAATCAGTATTGCTCTTAAATAAGCATTTGGTCTCGAAATGGAACACATTTATGATTATTACAATATAAGGTATTTGAGGGTACCTTGAGGCGGATGGGCTACAACAGCAGAAGACCCCACTGGGTACCACTCATCTCCACTACAAATAGGAAAAAGAGGCTACAATTTGCAAGAGCTCACCAAAATTGGACAGTTGAAGACTGGAGAAATGTTGCCTGGTCTGATGAGTCTCGATTTCTGTTGAGACATTTAGATGGTAGAGTCAGAATTTGCCGTAAACAGAACGAGAACATAGATCCATCGTGCCTTGTTACCACTGTGCAGGCTGGTGGTGGTGGTGGTGTAATGGTGTGGGGGATGTTTTCTTGGCACACTCTAGGCCTCTTAGTGCCAATTGGGCATCGTTTAAATGCCACGGCCTACCTGAGCATTGTTTCTGACCATGTCCATCCCTTTATGTCCACCATGTACCCATCCTCTGATGACTTCCAGCAGGATAATACACCATGTCACAAAGCTCGAATCATTTCACATTGGTTTCTTGAACATGACTGAGTTCACTGTACTAAAATGGCCCCCACAGTCACCAGATCTTACCCAATAGAGCATCTTTGGGATGTGGTGGAACGGGAGCTTCTGGATGTGAATCCCACAAATCTCCATCAACTGCAAGATGTTATCCTATCAATATGGACCAACATTTCTAAAGAATGCTTTCAGCACCTTGTTGAATCAATGCCATGTAGAATTAAGGCAGTTATGGAGGTTGAAAGGGGGTCAAACAGTATTAAAAAAAGACTGAACACACAGTAATTTAAGTTATTCAGGTCTGAAATGACATGAGGGTGAGTAATTCATAACAAAATTTTCATTTTAAAATAATAATAAAAAAAAAGGTGACCAATTCTACCCCATCCCATAATTCGCAAATTCCTTCAAACCTGCACATCACAAACCCCAATCTGTCTAGACACCTCCTGGGCTAGCACCTTTCTTTCTCTCTGATTTGGGGATTAGGACAGGGGGAGGTTTTGGGTCCACTGGTTGCTGTGGCACATCTATTGATGTCAAGTACGCGATAACCTGTCTGCCCTCATGTCTGATCCTAGCCGGGGCGCCTCAGCTCAGGGTCCCGTCTATCTGCTTTCACACAAACACACACAGACATATCACACGTCGAGCTAGCAGAACAAAGCGTGCATCACCTCACGCTTGAAAATGCAACACACATTTGTACCGTAATGGCAAACAAAACACACACCTGCTTTAGGAATCAACTTAAAATGCAGATGTGGGCTTTGTTCGCTCTAACTGTGAGGTTTCATTCATGAACACATTGGATTTTCTCTTCGAGTCAGGGTTTTCAAGGTAAAGGTGATGATGAAATGGATTTAGGAATATTTTTCACACCTTGAAACTTGACAGGACTATTTTTTATCTTTCAGTTGTTGAGGTGTTCGTAACAATACATTTTGCTTCTCGTACATCGTCGAATTCATAAAACATGACATGTGTTGCCTTGAATTGGAGCTGCACGAATTGATATAAAGAGTCTCTTAATTAGATCATGTGATATTGATATCGCCTCAGTTATCGCTTTTTATGCCGTCGAATACAGTATAAGAGTGTCCTTGCACCAAATATTGATATTACTGAGCATTTTGTTGTAGCATAAATCAGTGATGGATATCTGTTTATTCAGCCTTTTTTTCCCTTCAGTTTGTTTACTCATTTTAAAGGCGTTTAGCTCTGTAAAGGATATCAATTTCAGCCTGTATCCGAAGTCATAAATAAGCTCTCCTCACTTTCTCTCGTGTCTGTCATGAGTGATAAATTCTCTCACCTGCTGATCCATCACCCGTCTCGTCCCGCTCGCGCTTTCCGATGGCACAAAGTTGAGAGAGAGACTCTCGGCCCTCTCGCTCCAGCCTTAGACTGTCTCAGACACCAGACCGTTCGCTTAGTATGTATGACGGCTATTTCTGTGCTTTCTGAGTCACTAAACTTAGGGCTTGTCATATATGATTAATGCTCTCAGATGTTATTCTGAAAATCGGACTGTTTGTTTAGTTTACTGCCTTCTTAATCCTATAAACCTACTGTGTTATAGGCTATTTGATACGCACATTTTTAAGATCTATATAATTTTTAGCCATAGATAGAGGCTTCTGAATAAAAGTGTTTTTTTCCCCCTCCTTGAGTATGAGCTTCATATTCTCCTCTATCATAGTACATCAAATCTTGATGTGTCGAATATGATACTCAACACATTTTTTTTTTAACTATTAAAATATATTTTTTCTTACTATTATTTCAAATGGCTGGCTTTACAGGGTTAACATGTAATATGTACTGCATACTATTTTCATATGCAATGCAACGATTTTATAAATGCAACTTTTGTAAGGCAATGTTTGGAATAGCATGCGACCCTATATTACTGCAGGATTCAGTATGTATACTGTTCATAGTATGCATTTCCTGGATGCACAGAATCCCCAGGGGACCTGCTTGCATCTGCCGAAATGTGCAGTATACAACCAGAGTGCACTGCACGAAATGCTATAATGTTTCCCACAATGCAGTGGACTCTTTTTGACCTTACATTTCCATGGTGACAAATCATTATACACAAAATGCCAAAATAATAATTTTTAGTTCAGATATCAGATAATATTCAGATAACACGTTAAACCGAGGTTCTGACTCTCTGCTCATTAAAAATCGCAGGATGCGTTTTGAAAAAGAGGTGTAACCCCGGTATCCTGGCCAAATTTGCTCATTGGCTATAGAGCCCGACCGATATGGATTTTTGGGGGGTGATACCGATATATCGGCCGATATCATTAATGTGTAAATTATAATACAGTAGCAATATTATGTATTATTATAGTACAGTACCAGTCAAAAGTTTGGACACACTTTCCTATTGGTGGGTACAAACTTTTGATGGGTATAGGCGCGTGAACTGCTACTCGTCTCATAAATGAACCGAAACTCAGCGTATAGACCTGAGAAATATATCTATATTGAAATATCTACTTTTAAACAGAACAATTCAAAAGGAAAGACAGGCTGCTCTCTGCTGTAATCCGTATGAAATGTGCATTTCTCTCTGGAGCGTTCACTGAAGATCACGAGTCAGCGTCGTCAACTTTGCAGCGACACTGAATGAAAACACTTGTTTATTAATAAACAAATTAAAAGGTCTCCTTGCTATATTTGATGTATTCTCAATCATTACTTTTGCCAGTTCTTTGTGACAGCTTTTATGTGCTTTATTGGCATCGCCACCCTTACATGAATCACCATTATAAATACCGAAAATGCCACATTGGTGGTGGTTGAGGAGATTCCCCCCTTCCTTATGTAAAGCACTTTGAGAACCCAGAAAAAGCATAATAATGTAACAACTTTAAATTATTACAATGATTTCTGAAAACACTTATTTTACATTGTAATAATATTTCACAATATTACTGTATTTTTGATCAAATAAAATGCAGTCTTGGTGAGCATAAGAGTCTTCTTTCAAATATATAACTCTTAATTATTCCAAACTTTTTTTTTTATACATTTATTTATCAACTTTTTCAAAGCATTAACAGAAAGCATTAACATAAAGCAGATACAATCAAAGTTAAAGCTTTTCCCCCACAATAACCCATTCCGCCAAAATAAATAACTATATATTACATACAAGTCAAGACAACAATATCAATAATAGTAATAATAATAATCAAAAAATAAAACTAAAAACAAATAAACATACGTAGCCAATAATGAAATTCTGACATGTTCGTGGTCCGTACGTAACTACAAAACAATACCCCAATTGACAATCACATTTAACATTGATCAATAGGTGGGAGAGTCCTCATCTTCTCAAAATATGTAGTCATGGGTAATTTTTCAACCGATCCTTTCTATTATTCCAAACTTTTGACCGGTAATGTATTCTTAAGTTAGAAAATAAGAAATGTTTCATTCTTAAGAATGTTTTGTAAATCTGTCCCCCTGGTTCTTTTATCCAACTGGAATTGCAAGGTCAAACGTATAGAATCCATACATGCACAATTAGTAAGAGTATGCTAGACTGCATGTTTGAACAGCAGGACAGAATGGATACACTTTACGGAACAGATCCCGCGGATTCAAGTTGTCGGATCTTTCTGTCAGGTTTGCTGTCGCGCAGACAGGCCGGGCGTCAGACAGCTGAAGGTGAAAACGGGCCTTGGCGGCTCCTGCTGCCCTCCGTGGCGCTGGTCAGATCAGAACGCTCGGTAATGGCGTGAAACAGGGCAGAGGGAGATCTGAAGAGATGAGAATCGAAGGTGAGGATGGCTCTAGGCGCCTCAACCGCGGGCCCCCTGTGGGAGCACGGCCCACCGCCCCCCTCGTTCCTACCCGTCGCCCCTCCGCACATCTTCAAAAGCACATCCCTCACCATCCCCTTCTTCCTCGCGGACACAGGATAATGCTCTCTACTCTTTGATTACACTTAGCAATTGGAGAGCCCTCCGTTCGAGAGTGCTGGGTATTATCAAAACCAATCAACATGAAGGTTTTTTTTCCCTCTCTCCCAACCGCTGCCGCACCCACTGGAGGGCGAGAGCAGGGGGCGAGGAGTGTTTGGTGGGGGCTTAGAGGGAAAAAACAGTTATCGTTGAAATAGAGACATCAGAGTAAATGGGCAGTCTGTTGAGAGATGTACACACGACTGAGAGTTGGAGAAAACCTGACTTGGATCCTGATGGATCCTGTATTGTGGGTCTAAGACCGAAATAGAGAGACAGGAACGCTGTTGCTCAGTCCCGAGGTCATTTTCTAGAGGGCACCACTGTGGGAGAAACGGCTTCAGTTTTATAACATCATTTGAATATTAGTTTATGCCGCGGATGATGAATTAGAGGGACGGCTGTCGTTTGTTAATAATTCAGCGGCACGCGGATGGTGGGATAGACTCGGACAAATACTCGGGCTTCATTCCTCTGAGGATATATGAATAATGCTCGTTTGAAATCAAGGATTGTGTGAAGGGTGTTTAAAGGTTGTGCGTCGACAGCGCAGCAGGAGATTATATACTTTCTTGCTGAAGCACTTAATGTGACTTATGAGTGTTTGTTTCATAGGGATGAAACCGGACGAGGAGTTGGAGAAGATTCCTTGCGTCCCGTTGAGTTCTGTGGGAAAGAAATGAGATCTCCTAAATATCGCAGTTGTTTCAAACTAGGTTGCATTGAGATTAATTGGGCTTTTGCTAGAAGTTTCCTGATTCTTCTCAGTTTGTAATAAAATCTCTTCAATATGAAATCAATCATTTTTATTAATTCTTTCCTGGTCAAATATTCGGAGTCGCAATCCATGTTCATTCAGTAGCTCTATATATACTATTACTATTAGGGCTGTCAAACGATTAATCGCGATTAATCGCATCCAAAATAAAAGTTTGTGTTTACATAATATATGTGTGTGCACTGTGTATAATTATTTTATATATATATAAATACACACACATGCATGTATATTAAGAAATATTTTCATGTATATACTTTAAATATATATATATATATATATATACATAATATTTTTTCTTAAATATATACATGCATGTGTGTGTATTTATATATATATATATATATATATACTGTATATATATACAAAATGTATAAATATAATAATATAAAATGATATATATACTGTATATATATATATATATATATATATAAAATGTTATATTATTATATTTATACATTTTGTACAAGTATATATATGTATATTATGTATAAATAATATTTTTTTCTTGAATATATACATGCATGTGTGTGTATTTATATATACAGTATACAAAATAATTATACACAGTGCACCCACATATATTATATTTATTTTGGATGCGATTAATCGCAATTAATTGTTTGACAGCCCTAATTACTATATGTGAATGATTGACTTTTGATTTGTTTCCATATGGACTGAATAAAATTAGGGAGAATCTTAAATGAATCAAAAATGAAAAAATGTATTTAGACTCTTGAGCTATGAAAGAGCAACCTGTGTACAATAAAATATTTAATAAAACTCTTTCACATGCGTTCCGTTTGCATCCTGTAGGGGGGGAAATGAATGTTAATGAAGACTTTTTATCTTTTGCTTGTTAGTTATTGTTTTTTAAAATTCGTTTTCACATATTACATGTATACTTTATTACAGTGAAAACAAAATATTGTAATGATTTGCAGAATAATCTAACATCTAAAATCAAATAAGCTCCTTATTTAACATCTTTAATGTCAGAGCTGTCTAGTTTTGTCCTTTCTATGTTTTATTCCCGATTTATTTTTTAATTAATATTTTATTGAATATTTTATTGTGCATGGGTTGCTCTTTTAATACGAGTCTTAATGGGGAAAATGTCCTTAATTTTCATGAAAACAACAGAAAAAAGGGAATATTTCTGAAACCGTCTTCATGTCCTTTAGGCAAAATATCTATTTTTTATTTTTTTATAGTGAATTGAGATCTGGGTGTTTCTTTTTTTTATGAGATTTACCCATTAACTCTCTCGAGCTATGAAAGAGCAACCTTTGAACAATAAAGTCTTCCTTGCATATGTGTGTGAAGATGTTGTAATGGAAGATGAGAGGAAAATCTGATGAGGACAGAAACTGTGAAGGAGGAGAAAAAGATTATTTCCCCTGCGCTGACATGCCGTTTTTGTGTTCATGTGTGTGTAGAGTTTCAAACTCAACGTGGACAGTCACAGCGCTCTGAAAGACGGTCTCCTGGAGGAGGGAAGGCAGCTCCTGGAACTCATCACCTCCCACAAATCAGGTACAGTTCTGCCGAGCCACACATTTATTATTAATGTTTGTATTAACATAGTGACCTTCAGAATTTATAAATCCTCAAGTAACCGCTTCTGAACCGCCGAGCGCAAGCCTTTTCACATACATTACAAATGGCGCACGGCCCGCTGAATTGAGTTCTGGGATAAAGCGGAGAGGCAGGTGCTGCGGCCAGCCGAGCACTTCCAAAGCCGTATATGAAGAGAGCGAGAATTAGGAACAGCAAGTTGAGGAGTCAGAGGCCATTGCAGACACTCGTTCCTCTACAATATCTGTGATTATTCACGTGAAGAGTCTCACCGAGTGCTCGGCAAATGCACAAATCCACTCAGCTGACCTCCCTGCTGGTATGTCTCGTCTCCACTGGGTAAAGCCGGCTACCATTAAATATGCAGATGGTTCTCGGAGGCAGGAGCGGTTCCTTATAATGCCCTGACAGTCCTGTCCTGCGGTGCCACAGCATGACAACAGCTCCCTGCCAACACAAACATGCACTCTCGCACCTTTACTATAACCCAACCTTCCGTAGGGATCTTCTTAAAGGGGCCAGTCTATACATTTTTCCTCCTTTGGATTATTAGGACCAGAAATATTTTGTAAAGTAAATATTTAACATTTTGATTTTAAAGGGACCATATTCTACAGTTCTTACATTATCGTTCAAGTTTAGAGTCGGAAAGATTTTTTAATTGTTTTCAAAAGTTTTTTCAAAAGACTCTTCTGCTGCATTTATTTGATCAAAAATACAGCAAAACAGTAATACTGTGTGTGAAGGATTACAATTTAAAATGTCTTCAGTGTTACATCATCCTTCAAAAAAACATTCTAATATGCTGATTTGGTGCTCAAGAAACATTTCTTATTATCTTGGCAAAAAATAGTGCAGTCAAATCAATTAATCGCAATTAATCGCATCTAACATACAAGTTTTAGTTGATATTCTATACTGTATAATACAAAATTTTGTTAATGCGATTAATCACGATTAACTGGTGTGACAGCACTTTGAAAAACTTTGTGCTGCTCATTATTTTTGTGGAAATCATGCTAATTTTGTTTAGGAATCTTGATGAATGAAAAGTTTAAAAGAACAGTTGAAATACAAATCGAATAAATGTAATATTACAACTGTCTTACGTATACACATTAAATGTCTTTATTTCAATATAGATTAATCTCTTGCTTGTTAAAAATATAATTATTATTATTTTTTAACTTACTGACCCCAAACTTTTAAATGGTAGTGTAAATGTAAATTAATGAATGTTTTGTTATATGCCATACATTGCTACTTCCATATTTTGGGTTATTTGAAGGCGAAATACAGTGTGAAACAAAATTTTGAGATCACATTAAAAATCTTATTGGATTTTTAGGATCTTGAGAAACCAAATAAAACTATATATATATATATATATATATATACTGTATATATACTGAATGAATGTTTTGTAATATGCCATACATTGCTACTTCCATATTTTGGGTTATTTGAAGGCGAAATACAGTGTGACACAAAATTTTGAGATCACATTAAAAATCTTATTGGATTTTTAGGACCTTGAGAAACCAAATAAAACTATTTAGATACTGTATATATACTGTATATATATATATATATATATATATATACAGTATATATGTCACTAATAATCAAATGCTTGTAAATGAGTGTCATTAATCATGTCACTTTTTGAACGTAAGGTTAGATTTTCTTCCATTAAAGCTCAAGATGCTCTTTGGGTCATTCTCAAATCATACTAGAGAACATCAGGTTTTGGATTTCACCTTCAGTGCTGCTGTCATTTGAGCAAAAGATGCCAAACCAAAGACTTTTATGAAATTAATGTACATTTTCAAGTTCATTTTTCCAGTTAAATTGTTATGCTGATATAATTCTAAGTGAAAATGTTTGAATTTAATTAGAAAATATGTCAAATATAAACTTTTTAACTTCTCATTTTGTGTCTACATAGCAGACACTCATAGTACGTACTCATTTCAAAAGAGCAAGAAAATCTTGTTTTCCCCTTTAATTTCAGCTCTGTGATTAGGAGCAAATCTCCTATCAACTTCCCACCTTGACCATTATTGTCTCGTATCTTAGCAACTCAGCAGACGGGCATCACTCCACAGGTACGAGTCGCAGCTTCCATCACAGAACGCCGTCGGCTGCGACGAGAGGCCTGATCCAGGCACAATGCGGGGTCACACTCCAGAAGCCCGACTTCCGCCTCGACCGCATTTATCTTAATTTATGCTTTTTAATTACTTTGAACAAATAGGGTTTGCAGACGGAGATGCTGATTGTGGCCGGTGAAGACGCAGCGGACACATGATAGGTTTTGAATATAAAAGCAACCCATAATACTGGGATTAACTGAACGCTCGAGTCCTCATCAGATGCAAAAACACTCGCGGTCTGGCTCGGGTCACCACCATCAAGTGGCGTGAAAATCAAACGCCTTGTTTTTTTTTTAGGCCTTGTATGAAACGCCCTCCATCTGTTGATTTGCAGAGAGGAAGATATTATCATTTAACTTGTTCAATATTTTATTTTTTACCAGAGGTTGGTTTTAATGATTTAGATGATGGTGGTGATTATGATAATGCCATGAGCATTATTATTAGTGATGTGTTTGAGTTTAAGAGGGAAAAAAGAAAGCCAAGTGCGTCTGTTGGATCATTAAGGGGCGAGTCGTGATAAATGGTTAAATCACAGCACATTAAAGGCTCATTAAAAACAACTGTAGGGGGGATGTGTGTGTGTGGGACGGGCCGGCTGGACGGCAGGAACATCACACTGTAGGGTTTAAGTGGGTGTTCTGCCCATTGGCTGACATTAGCGGTGTGCATATATGCCTAGAACAGGGTATATTCAGAATGGTATACTAGCAAACTGCATAATGTGCAGTACATATTGTTTAAAATGACATATGAAACAGTGTGCATGAAGATTTGCATTGTTGTCAGATGATCTCAGTAAGTTTTTCATTGAGTAGCATCATCTCCCAAATGAATAGTTTCAGTTACTTTGTATGGAAAATCTTTAGCCAGTAAGATATTTATAAAATAAATCAAAGAATCATTTGTTTCCACAAAAATATTAAGCATCACAACTGTTTTCAACATTGATATTAATCAGAAATTGAGCAAATCGGCATATTAGAATGATTTCTGAAGGATCATGTGACACTGTAGACTGGAGTAATGATGCTGAAAATACAGCTTTGCATCACAGGAATAAATTACAGTTTAAATATATTCAAATATTATATTCAATCAAAATGTTACTGTTTTGCTGTATTTTTTAACTTTGAACGTTGAAACTTTTGAACGTTAGTGCACATATACAGTATATGTTTATAGATAGTAGGACGGCAAGTGATAAGAGGCCATGGGTTACAATGATTTTTATCCATATCCAATATTCTTAATTCGATATTATCAACATGAGGTGCAGTGGTAAAACAATGTTTAGATGGTTTAATTTATGTATATAAATAGTTTTTTTTTAGTTTTGAATTTCAGAATAAATGAATCAGAATAAGCTAGTCTTTTGCCAGATGATACAGTAAAACTGCAAATGATACTGCAAAAAGGGGGCTGATATCAGCTCCAGTTTATTTATCTATCACACACAAAAAATAGAAGCAAATAGAAGGTCAAACTCATTGAATTGTGATATGCTTTTCGCACTGTGCGCATTGAGATAAAAAAAAAATGCATACTTTGTAGAGTGTACATACTAGTACTATTCATTCATTCATTCCTTGTGAAAGCTGGAAAGTGTCATGTTCTTTTTCTTGGTAATATTTTGTAATTGCAATGTTTGAATTTTTTGATTGTAATTTGTGTTGTTATTGCTTTGTATAATTATATGTTGTGAATATTTTAAAGAGGACCCCAGGAAGATTAGCTGCCATTAAATGGGCCGCTAATGGGGATCCTAATAAAAACGAAAAACGAAAAAACGAATTCACAAAGGATTAGTAGCATGCCATTTTGGTTTTGAATATACACAATTTGTACAGTAAATAATTAAGATCTGTGTTCATTTGCACACGGTTTACTGATTTTCATGGTTGTACTTTATATCACTTCAATATTTTTCAATCTATTTTACTGCTGTTTTTATTATTTAATAGTTTTCATTTGTATTTAGATGATGCTTAAATGAAACGACTATAGAGTGCCGAAGTGATGACTTCACTTTGTAGGACAACTCGGAAGCTAGCGGCGCATGGGTTCCCTCGATCGAAAAGCTATGCATTTTCCCCGTAGACTTTTGGAAAATCACAAAAAGTAAGATCTGTGTTTAACAAAGAGTTGTGACCCTTACACGTTTTGTTTATCAAGATAATCTTTACAAGTTAATCTAAAATTTATACATTTTGAAGTCTATATAAAGTTTTTAAAAACACAAGCAGACACAATACAGTTTAAAAAACCATAAGCAGGTTATAACTAGTGTGTTTTACGCCGTAGATCAAAACGTGAAAATATTTAGAAGCTTTGTTCACCACAGACCTTATTTCAGGCGATTTAGCAAAAACCCATTCAAAAATCCCATAGACTTTAGAGCGAGGGAACCGGTAGTGCTAAAATGCTAACTCACTTCCGCGTTTTGGCCTACAAAGTGACGTCGTAACTTCGGCACTCTATTCAGATGGAATTTAGAGGAACAGACCTTTAGTTAAGTCAGAGACTATTTATATAGAGACATGCCACTTCCTCAATACAACTATATAGGGAAAACCCGTAACACCAAAGATGGCGGTTGTATGCACATGTCCCGCCCATCCCGCTGGAAAGCCAATTGTCTGCTTTTAACAGTCAAGCTGGTAAACATTTAAGCCTATCGTCTGGTTCCACCGACGCATGCGCACAGTTGAGGTTTGCGACAGCGGAAAATATGTTACTGTTTGAAAAGGCGGCAGATTTGATATGTGTTAGTTGTGTAAATATCAGACATCCCAAGTCTCCCGGAAGTTCCAAGAGTCTCCCGCAGATTGATAGCTGTTCCCCGATGACCGCACATTAGTTAAAATCTCCCGGAATCTAGAGCGAGCGAGCAAGAGCGCGCACAACAGAGAGCGAGAGAACCCTTGCGCATACACAATAAAAGTATCACCTGTGGGGAAAAAGGCATTTTAAACCTTATTTTGGGGCAAAGTCATTAAACTTTTTCAGCGATTTTTATCATATTTTATTTCTGTTTCTATACAAGCAGTTTTTATGTCCTGGTGACCAGTGAAAGTGCAGTTCTGAGTCTGCCTATTCATTTAGATAGGAGTCTTGTTAGTCCGAAATAGCTGCCCAAGATGGCGGCCGGGTGGCATGACTTGCCTAAAAGGACTTGGTTCAGTTGACAATCACCTCTTTTTCAGGTTTCAAAATATAGAGGCTTTGGATTGCAGACCTTGAACCACTACACCATTGCATTTATAATGTGTGCATTGAGTTTTAGAAGCCATTCACACAGAACGCCTTTTTGAATTCCGCTGCATTGCGTTTCCATAGTTTTTCCATGTAAACATGCACTAGAGTAGGCAGTAGTTGTGTAGTTGTGTCTTTTGCATCATCTTGTGCATGATATGGCATTCTAAAAACACGGAACTCAAGTTACAAGAAGTTCAACTTCTAAAAAAGGCCTCTCAAGACCATGCGTTTTTTCTTTCCACTGACCCGCGTCTCATGTTTTTAACCACAAAATGGCGTTCTGTGTGACAGTATCTCTTTATGTGTGCTCACAGGGCTGCGGGACATGCTCCATATGATATCCCACCAGTGGCAGGAGCTCCAGAGACAGATCCGCCGTCAGCACAGCTGGATGCTGCGCACACTGGATGCCATCAAAACCCACATCCTGTCCAGCGAGAGGGACGAGGAAGAGCGGGAAACTCACAGTCATCACGGCAGCCCCAAGGTACGGCCGAACGTGACACCGTCAAGCCCGTAACATCCCCGTATCCCGAGCCTGAGTCGTTCCATCTGTCTGCGGCTCTCAGTTCCTTTCTGGTAGCCCGTGGCCATGCTCTGCTCGATCAGCAAAATAAACAAACAGGGCCGCGTATTTCCATAAGAAACGGCTCGAGGAAAGGCTCTGCAGGGAGACATTCCTTTCAGGGAGGAAACAGGGGAGGGGACACGCCATTGGCGTGATGCGAATGAGAATTTTCTGTCCGTAAATGAGCGCGAGATGTTTCATAGCTCCCACAAACACACACAATTATGCTTTAGAGGCAATGCGCTAGACTCAATTTATACTTCACACTTAATGTGTAATTGCAGACATAGTTATTTGGGAGACCAATTTCTCATTGTTTAATTGTCAATTGTGATTGGGTAATTGCACTCCAATTAGGTGGCGTGTTTGTGTGCCGGGCCCTGAGAGCGAGGCCTGGCGGGAACCAAGAGGCATGTTTGTGTTTCTGTGTGGCGTGTGTGTGAACAGCAGCTTTAGGAACAGCGTGATCTCAGTTGGATTTCCCCCGGGAGCGTCGGCATCGCCAGGGCGCAATCTCCCTTTCTCCTCTGCTCTGTAATCTCTTCTGCTTCATCTGCAGAAAACAGGAACGCCAGGGCCTAATATTTCTCTCTCTGTTGCTCTTTCTTCTGTCTTTTCTCCTTCTCCTTTAACTGCTCAGATGGTCCGTGTGTGATGGACTAGCATATTATTGAGATACTACTTTTTCTATTTCAGCAGGATACAATACATTAGTATGAATAAAACACTTCTGCATTTACCAAAGGTGCAATATGAACCAGAATTTGAACTTATCTATTTTCACTCTTTGATTATTTGCAAATGTTGACAAAAAATTTACATAAAAGTGGATTAAATATGAAAAATAATCCATGGCAGTGCTTAAAATGGAATAGTACTATAGTGCAGAGTATTTGCTGTAAAAATCCAAGTTTTCTGAAGAGATTTGATCGCTTTATATGATGAACAGATTGAATTTAGGCTTTTATTCACATAAAAACATTCATCAACGCACACGTAGATATGGTAAATTGAAGCTCAAGCATGTTTGCTTGTCAGACGAGAACCAATTTATCTCATGTGTTACTCAGCACGTTTGAGCTTTCGCAAGAACCAATGAGGTTCATTCTCATGTTACGCAGCACGTTTGAGCTTTCGCAAGAACCAATGAGGTTCATGTTGTGTGTAACCGCACATTTGAGCTTTTGCAAAAAAAATCATAGAAGGTCAAGTTGAGCCCATTGCATTGTGAGATGCAGTATTCCATGCAGTATGCTTTGGCTGTTCACTGCCCATTTGGGAAAATTTAGCATTTCATTAAAAGCATACTTATACCTACAGAATACTTATAGGGCCCTAAATGCCTCTTGCGCCTGGCGCAAATCTAAAAGGGGTTGGTCTGAAGTAGCTTCATTATTCATAGGTGTGGTTTGGGCGTAACGTGAAATAAACCAATCAGAGCGCCATCCAACATACCCTTTAAGAACAGGTGCGCATGTAGCATGACGGATTGTTATTATAACGGCGGGTTTATCAGGCGCGCGCCAGGAGCGTTCACAGCCGATGAGACCGATGTTCTTGTCAGGACAGTGAAAGACAGAGAGGTGACGTTGTATGGGGATGGGTAAAACCCTCGCACATCAGCGTCGGTTAAACATTATAGCATATATGTATGTTTCTTGCCACTATTGGGCAAACAGGTCTGATCCTTTAGTACTACAATTAACCTTAAAAAATGGGTAATAAGGTATTTTCATCTTCATGTAAACCACAATGATTTCCCTCATGTGTTAATATTTTTCCTTGTTATAATGTAATATGATTTGCTGCATCTGTGTTGATGAGAGAATCAAAGTGTATGCGCGTTGTGTACCCGCAACATTATGGCCAAGCATGAGCGCTTAAAATAGCATTATGAACAACGCGCAACGCGCCACTGACTTTAGACCAGTTTTTTTCTGGTCAGTGGCGCAATTGACTTCTGGAAGTGCAAAATAGCACCAGGGAATGTTTGCGCCGAAACACGGCTCCTTTTTGCGCCGATCCGCCCAGGGAGCGCAAGTTCATTTCCTAGTTTACCGACGTGCGTCTGTGGAGGAAAAAAGCCTGCTTTAAGCGCGTGCAAAATAGGAATGAGAAATGCGTTTGTCTATAAAGTCATTTGCGCCGGGTGCAAGATAGAGCCCATAGTGTGCATACTACTTTCTTTCAAAAACAGTAGGTGGGATTCTGAACAAACTTAATGTGAACAGGCCCTACTTGTTTCTAGTTTGTGGGCACCGACATAAATAATCGGGGTGCTTTTAAATTGTTTTGTTGCAATTAGAAATCACCACAATCAGTGTGATCAGTCAGCGTTGACAGCCATTAGCCGCTTGGTTACAGCGAATTAAGAGAGAGAGGGGTGAGTGATTCATTATCTGAGAGCTGTTAATGATGATCGGATGCATTGCCTAATTAGAGACAGGCCACAGGATTGTGGGAAGGTCACACAAGGAGCCACAAATCTCTCTCTGTCTGAATCAGGGCGGATCCTGTAGGTCGAGTGCAGGTGTTGTGAATATGGGTCTGTGTGGGATCTTGAGCCTAGATCAAACCATACAGGATGCGTCTTACATCTGATCACTGGTGTTGATTTCAACATGTGCACCGCTCAGTTACGTTCAGTTTATTTGATGTTCTAACTAATGGAATTTTTGCGCATGCTACTGTTTAAATGTTTGGTGTCAGTACGATTTTTTTTTAATTATGCTTTTATTCAGCAAGGTTGCATTATGCATTAAATTGATCAAAAGACATTATGTTTTAAAATATTTGTATTCATATTTCAAATAAATGCTGTTCTCTTAAACTTTCTATTTATCAGAAAAATCCTGAAAGAAATATCATGCACCGTACTTACTTAATTTTTTTGTGTAAACCCGTTGCCTTAGAATTATTAAGTAGGCGTAAATAAACGTTATTCTTAATTGAAAAAATTAAGTTAAAGGAGAACTCCGGTGCAAAATGAACCTCTGGTCTAATTACACATTGTTACCTAGTCAACCGTTATCTGAGATTTGTTTTCATGATTGCCCAATGTAAATACTTTTATCTATAATAACAGTTTAGCCTATAACGCTAGTATAACGCTAGTATATTTATACCATGGTCTGGGTGAATACTCGATTCTGATTGGCTGCAGTGTGTCCGTTAAAAAGTGATAGAGGACACCTAGTAAAGTAGTTCCTTTTTACCATTCGAAATGAATAAATGAATGCGCTGCCCACAACAGCTGTGAGTAACCATAGCAACAGGCAGTCAAAGTATCCGTTAACAATTTGCTCTATCAAAACAACATCTAATGTTAGTTAGATATTACATAGCCTACTAATACAACAATGAACGACTTCGTTATTTCTTTTAACATTTATGGAGAATATGACAACTTTGACGACTGGGATGCTGCTTAAGAAAGAAAAAATGTAAATAAAACGGAGAAACGTCGCAAAGAAAATTACACCGCTGCTGCTCTGAATGAGCTGTCCAGACAACCAAGGCAGGAGGAGAGTACAGCGTTTCAAGCCTAAGAAGCCTGTTTGATTAATTGTTTTATGTGTAATTAAAAAAAAATAACTATGCACCTTTGTGTTTCATAAAAAAAAAAAAATGCATTTTGAACCTGAAGGGTTCTACAAGCTGAGCGGGCTATAAATATCTCCGGTTGCTAAATAAACCAGGCGAGTTATTATTTGTAAAAATTTGATTCAGCCTAATTAAAATATAAACTAGCAGCTAATGTTTTAAAAATGTTTTATTTGGCAAGTGACCATGGTATAAGCGGGTTAATGCCCTCCGAGGTGTCCATTGTCAGGTTTTAATGGACTTCGGCGGAGGCAACCGTCCTCCGCTGCGCGTCGGGCGGTTCACGCCTCGCCGTCGTCCATTAAAACCTGACAATGGACACCTCGTCAGGCATTAACCCTTACTGGGCATAGAGTAATGACAAATAAAAATCGCTTGTTATTACCACTAACAAGGCTCAAAATAGCCCCACACAAACACGATAACATAATAAGGGTCTCTACATTCAAACTGAAGCATTGAGAACTTTGTCAGTGTCCAAACAGTTTAATAAGAAGATATTTTATACACACACAGTCAACTTCGCGAGTACAGGAAGAAGCCATCTTTGAAAAATAGTCTCTACCAGTCGATCTACGAAAGCCGATCCAAGTGCGCTGAACTGTGCAGAATCTCATATGTTCCGTTGTTTCCGGAAGAAACACAAACACGAACCATTTTCTTCTCTTCAATATGTACATGTAGCCTACTGTTCGCGCTCACCTTATCACCTTATTCACATCTCACCAGCGCACTTGGATCGGCGTTCGTAGATCGACTGGTAGAGACTATTTTTCAAAGATGCTTCTTCCTGTTTTCGCGAAGTTGACTGTGTATAAAATATCTTCTTATTAAACTGTATGGACACTGACAAAGTTCTCAATGCTTCGGTTTGCATGTAGGGACCCTTGTTATGCTACCGTGTTAGTGTGGGGCTATTTTGAGCCTTGTTAGTGGTAATAACAAGCGATTTTTATTTGTCATTACTCAATGCCCAATAGCGTTATATATAGCATTATAGGCTAAACTGTTATTATAGATAAAACTATTTACATTCGGCAATCATGAAAACAAATCTCAGATAACGGTTGACTAGGTAACAATGTGTAATTAGACCAAAGGTTAATTTTGTGCCGGAGTTCTCCTTTAAGCTTGAAGTTTATTTACTTAAAAAAAACCAGAGGAAACCCATTGCCTTAAATTTATTAAGTTAAGTCAACTGATCATTTTTTTACAGTGTGGTTTCCACATAAATATTAAATAGGACAACATTGTTTTCAATCTTGATAATAATAAATGTTTCTTGATTGAATGATTTCTGAAGGATCATGTGACTG